TTTTCTCCGTTCTTTTTTCTGAAGACATAACGAATTGATTCCTCTGACAACAGAGGGACCATTTCACCCAGTATAACAAAACGTGCTTCTGAACAGGATTGCCGACCCTACCTTTAAAGACATATTTTACGCTTATTTCATATTGTATTCGATGTATAACAATAACAGTGGAGAACAACTTATAAACTGTTCAATTAAACACAATAACTGCAGGAAGTTTGTGTAAAATGAGCAATTTGGATCAATTTTGAGTTAAAATTTTCCTGTGAATATTGATTTCTTTAATCGGTCTATATTTTTAATAATTTTAACAATTATACATACTTAACAGGCTTCCCACTGTCCTTCCTAAGTGCTGTCTCACACTGTAAAAGTCTATATAATATAATATATAATATACAGCACAAACCATTAACAATATAATAAGATATAGGAGTATTTTTAAATATATATAAGATAGAAACGAACTGCTAACACACAGTAAAGTCCTGTCTGATCACTACTGAGACATCCAGAAATACTATAAAACTGCTGCTATAATAGAGGAAGATCAATAAGTTCCAGTTACAGATCTTATTGGAATATTATAGCTCACAATCCCTCCGCAGGCACATTCAATTAACATTACACAGACAACATTATTGGAACATTATTGGAATGTCTGATCGATTACCTGTCCGCCGTCTGTCGGTTTCCTGACTCGAGCAGAGAGACGAGAGCTCCTGGCGAGGGTGAGACAGCTGAGAGAGGAGTCTGTATGTTGTCTGTCGCTCCTTCTTCTTCTGAATGACTGTTACTTATTCACCAGCGGGTCTCCCCGGCTCGCTCCGGGAGGGGCGGAGCTTAGAGGAGTGTGTGTGTGTGTGTGTGTGTGTGTGATTCAACAGGTTAATGAATGAAACAGACTGATGATTCATTCAGTTTAAGACGGAAAAAGCTTATTTTATTTGGAAAAAATCGGTTTATAACGTTCAGAAACAACTTATTATGCTACAAAAACTGGGTTTAACAACATTAATAATTAGTAAATCAATTAATTATTTCTAATGGTTTGATTATTTGATTTGACATGTCTGAATTTCTCAACATTTTTGGCATTTCCTGCTTTCCCAAAGGGAGTTTGGCACAGTTATGGTGGCTATAAATCCTAAAATATACACACAATAGGTCAATATCTCAGCTTTTTGTGCATTTCCGTGAAGAAAAACTAAATGTAAATTGTTTAATAGATCAAGAAAACACTGAATTTGTCAAAAAAAAAGGAGCCTATAAAAGCTTAAAAAATACATAATACAGGCAGAAAATTCAATAAAAAGTTCCCTAAACACTTGAGAAGTCAAAAAGTTTGTGTAAAATTAGAGATTTGGATGAATTTTGAGCAGATTATTTCTTGTTTAAGGAGCTTTTTATATTTCTTGCATGTATTTTTCTTCTTTTCTGACAAATTCTTCTTGTCCCTGATCCTCGTTTCTATTAAATAATCTACTTTACATTTAATTTTTGTACTGCTTGCTATCTACCACATTAATAGTTAAAAACAATAGAAAATTATATATCAATATCAATTTAATGATTATATGCTCTTCTTTTATTTATAGCATTGGAAAATGAAGCTAAATAGTACATTAAAGCTATTTAACTTAGAAAATAAGAAGGATTTGTCTAATATATAATATAATTATTGTTTTTATTTAAAGATGAATAATTGAGGTAAAAAAAGAAGAAAAGGGCAGATTTTCTGAACCTCTGGAGTGTGTAGGCTATATGATAGTAAATAATAATAATAATAATAATAATAATATTGGAACTTATGTAAATTAAAAGTTGGTATACAGGTTGCAGGTACATGTATATGTATATGTATATGTACAGTTGGTATATATGGTTGGAAGAATACTGCAAGGATAAGTTGCTTAATTGATTAACTGAAAATTAATTGGCCACTATTTTGATCATTGATTCATCATTTCAGGTGTTTTTCAAGTAAAAATCTCTAATTCCAGCTTCTCAAACGTGATAATTTGCTCCTTTTCTTTGAAAGTAAATTCAGTATCTAAAAAAGGTTTTAAACAATAATAACAAATTGAAGACAATGTGGCTTTAATCAATCATTTGTTGTTCCTTATAAAGATGGAGGGAAGAGGCTTCACTCACTCAGACAGAAGGATTCAGTGACACCTGGATGGTTTTGAGGTTATCTGGCTCCATCTGCTGGCTGCGCTGCTTCATTTCATCCTGTAGTTTCTTTATGTTGTTGACTGTTTGGCCATAAATGTATGAAGGGATTCATGCAATTGTTTATTTATATTTTAAAAATGCAATGTTGAGACTGTTGAGAAACTCAGACATATATATATATAAATAATTCAAATAGCTGCAAACATTGCACATGTACAGTTATTAATCTGATTATGGTACAGATGGATACATATATTTACAGATAAATATACATATACACACACACACAGTATATATAAATGTAATAAAAGATTTAATATATATATAAAAATAAACATAAAATAAGATCTAATATATATATAAAAATAATAAAATCACATTTATATATAAATATAATACAATTATAAGATCTAATATATATTAATATAAAATCATAAGATCTAATATATATTAATATAAAATCATAAGATCTAATATATATATATATTAATATAATAAAATTATAAGATCTAATATTTTAAAAGATATGCTAAAATAAGATCTAATATATATATAAATATGTTATTATAAATAAATTATAAGAACTGATTAATAAAAAAAAATACAATTATAAAATGTAATATACACATTAGATTATATTAGATTTTGCTGTGACAAACAATTTTTTATCGATTTTATTAGCTTTTATTGTATCTTATTCCTCTCTTTGGACTACATTACAGTGCTGCTGTGCCAAATTTGAATTAAGATGTTCAATAATCTTAATCTGTAACGGCTCGGTTTAGGACCCAAATGCAGCACACATAGGCAGACAGACAGTCTGCAATGACCTTTATTTTCAGCTTGTGGAACAAACAAAGCAAGCAAGCAACAAACGATATTGTTAAATCCTGGCTTCAGGCTGTGAACCCTCAGAGCCCTTGGAGCAGTCAGGGAATCGACTCAGCCGAACCGGAGCTCCGGTGCTTACAGTTCAGATGAGAGCTTTCTGTACTCACAAGCTCGTGGTCGGGGACAGAAGGCTGAGGTGATAACCGGGGCAGAGACGAGGCGGGAAGGTCAGAATCAGGCAGGGTCGAAACCTTGAGATCCGTCTGAACAACGCCGGAAGGTCATGCATGAGTACAAAGAACAATCTGTCATCGAGTGAATGGTGAGTAGCAGTATATGAACCGATTATAAATAAATAGTAATCAAAGCAAAACTGGACTTTAAGAAGGTAAACAAATAGGAAGCAGATACATAAAAAGGCTGTTCTCAAGTTTGGGCAGGAGCTAAACAAACCTTAACATCACAAACTTTCCTGCACCTAAAATAAAAATTCAAATTAAGCAGATAATCCCAGAGAGATGTCTTTCGTGACTTGTCATGATCTCTGACATGGACACAGGTTTATTCAACTGGTAGAGCAGCACAGACTGACTCATGGATCATGTAAATGTGCACTATAATTGCAGCTATAATGGAACTAGTAGTAGGATAAATGAGTATATAATAAGAGATGGTGTCCTTTATCTTCTTTTATCAGCCACTCCAGATACAACGGATAAGAAAATACACGTTAAATAAATAAAAAAAGATATAATGGAGAGTTACATGTACATTATATCCAGCTTGTTATATACAGGTGTGGCTGATAATGTCACAGCAGGAGGTGGTGGCATGGTGTGAAAAGGATATTTATTATAAATAATATTAGTTCTAAAGGAGATTGAAGACGTCTCAAAGAGGTTGTAAGGATCTATGATGAGGTTGTCACTGAATGGGGTAGTAAGGGTCTTTCAAGAGGTCATAGGGTCTCTGAACAGGTTGTAGGATCCTTGATAAGGCTGTAGGGTCCTTGATGAGGCTGTAGGGTCCTTGATGAGGCCTTAGGAGGATCATTTAAAAGATTGATATGTCTTTTAAAACAAATATAGTCATCCTTGAGCAGATTCTAGGAGTTCTTGGGTGCTTGACGAGGTTCCGGGTTTCATTTAGGAGACTTTAGTTGCAGTCAGGAGACCTTTAATAGGTGGTAGTTAAGTTTTCTTTTGCCCCACCGGTGGTGAGATGGTTCTCATTTTCACCGCCTATAAGTAAACTTTTACAATTTAAAGTTAGCTGTTCACAGCCTGCCGTCTGTTATGCAACAATATCGTAACAGTGCACGCTCAGCATTAAAGAAAACATATTAGGATATAAGAAGTAAATCAGTATCTTATTCTTTCTTTTTTCAGTTGAACAAAAGTTGTAATTAATATTCTGCCATTTCCTCCACTCGGTGTCAGGTGTAGTTTTCTGCTTTTTCAGCTTATGCTTGCATTAAAGTGAACCGACAGCACCCAAAGTGTTTTTAATCCTCTGTCTTGTACGTTGAGGTAATAATGTCGGAGTAATTGAGGCTCTGGGGGCCCGGCGGGCTGATCGACAGCTCATTTAAAAACGGACACGGTGAAGGAGATGAGAGGCGAGGTTCAGAAACAGGAAGTTAATGAAGCTGGAGGGATGAGCGACAGGTACAACATCACCGCTACGCTCATCTGTCTTTGCGTAATTGAAACCTCATTTGGTAAAAAAAAGAAAACTGAAGCGATGCTGATTCACCCGATTTCTCTGAATCCAAAGACTACAGAGAAAAAAAAGCTTCAAATTTACTTGAAAACAAAGAATGAGAGTCTCTTCAAACTTTAAATCACCTCAACAGACACACGTATTCAAGTGGAGTATCTGTTTCAGGTGGACTTTCAAGAGTCACCGAAATGGTTTTATGGCCATTTAAGGAGTTGTATACCATGGATTAGAGTGAATACTTGATTCTGATTGGCTGTCTGTTCACCTTTCTAAATGAATGCGCAGTGTTATTGACCTTGAATCTTGCCAGCATAACGTTAGCGCTCTGTCTCGTAGCTGAACCAACGCACTCTCTCAGTGGAGGGTTCGTCCTATTTACTGGAGCAGTGAGCAACGTTTCCATTGCATTAAAACCTTATTGGATGGTAATGATTTTTCCAGGTATTAGGAAGGACCTCAGGTTTTTTTTTAACATTACGTTTGATTACTTTTTGATTAGTTCTCTAACAAAAAAACATTTCTAGTAAAGTCCATCAAAAACTTTGAATTTATTTTTATTCTCCACCAATAAGTGCTGAAGCAGCTCAAGAGCACTTTCAGCAACAGACTGATCCAGCCCCAAGCCTCAAAGTACCTCCAACCCCGCAGACTAAGACTGGTTTTAAATTCAATCAAACTTATATTATTTACCTTAAATTGCACAAGCTGCTTAAAATAGCTTTTGAATTGCACACCACTGTACTTGCACATTGCATATAGTGTATATATTTTTCATTTATAGTTTTATATTTTCCATTATATTTTGTAATATTCTTGATTGTGATGATTGATTGTGATTGTGACAATTACAATTGTGATACAATTGTATGTACACTGTACTCTTTTTATTGCACTATATTCCCCCAAGGACCCCCGAATTGGTACAGATACAGAAAATTTAGTCTTGGGTGTGAAACCCATGAACAGAACAGTATTTTTATACATTTTCTCTAACTTTTGGCCAAATTAAATAACAGTGAAATTAACATATTTCCAT